TGCCTCCCATTCACAGGTTGCCAATGCGCCATTTCTTCAGCGGCCAGGGATGAGACATGTATGGAAATGGTACCAATGGTGTCACGGTGACGTTTGCTTGTAATTTGCTCACGTCGACCAAGTTTCCCTTGGCTTGGTTTGACTAGGCCCCCTAGTCTAGAATGCCACTGATGCCTTTGTATTTAAAGGCTTATGCCTGACAGCCGGGCGCCCGCCTGTATGAGATGAAGAGGCAGAGGTCGCGCAATGTCTTGGCGTCGGTCTTCTGGGACGTGGGAAAGAAAGAGGAACTGGAAAACGCAGAGGAAGAGGAAGCCAATAGGAAGAGGAACAGGAAGAACAAAAAGGGGAAGAGACAGAGAAAGAGCAAGAGAAAGAGCAAAACAGCAAGAGAAAGAGGAAGATGAATACACGTTGACCAAAACCTTTTTTTGGCACCACAGGTACAAAGACTTGGTCATAATTGCTCGTCTGGTGTAACCTGCAAACTGAAACGTACCAAAAAAACATGGGATTATGCCCCCGGATGCCTAATGTTGCCCAATGTCTGGTTTTGCAAGAAAAGACAAAAACATGGCTTGCAAAAGCGCAGGCAGGTGCAGGTTCTAGGGACACGTTCCAGAGCAGGTTCCGGAGCAAGTTCCAGAGAAGGTTTCGAAGCAGGTTGTAGAGCAAGTAGTATGTCCCCGAGCAAGTTCCGGAGCATGTTCCGCTTCTGTTCTGGAGCAAGTTCCATGCCACATCTGGAATAGTTGGAGTACCTTCTCTGGAGCAGCCAGAATCGGGGAATTGTTCAATCCACTTCTATCGTGAGGGTCTGAATGATGTTGGCCTGCGTCTGGAAATGCTCTTTGCTTGTTATGGTGTTGTCATGCTTGTGCATTTGTGGGCGCATGTACTACACTGATAGCAACACGGACATATTGCTGTGTTAATTTGCTTGCTTTGGTTTTGGCCCCGCAGTGAAGAAACCATTCCACAGCCCGCGGCAGATTGCAGTGGAGCAGTCGAGTGGGGAGACTATACTCTGGGGGAGGGGGCGCTGCTGTGTGCGCTTACGCTGCAGGTTGCCGCTGCCGCTATCGCCACTGCAGGGTGCCGCTGCTGTGTGCCCTTGGGTGCTGGTGCCGCTGCAGGGTGCCGCTGCTGTGGCGCTTGGGAGCTTAGGTGCTGGTGGTTGGCACGGTTGCAGTGCGCCGCTGCTGTGTGTGTGTGTGTGCTTGTTATTGGTATCGTGTACGGGGTTGATGTGATGTTTTCAGGAGCGCTGTGGAACGCGAGTGCAAAAGCCACGGCAGCTTGAACGCAATGATTCCAACGAGGTGATCCCCTGACTCAAGGTCAGGGATCTCGAGGCCAAATAGACACAAAGGACGAATCACGAATCACGAGTACCGCATCACGAAACGAATCACGGATCACGAAACACAAGTCACGCGGGTGAGTAACGAATCACGAATCGCGAAAGGAATGACGAATCACGAAGCGAATCACGAATCACACGGCTGAGTATCGAATCACAAAATGAAGGGTGAATCACGTGGCTGGGTAACGAATTCCGGATTACCACAACCAACCTCATGTTTGGAAACTAAAGTGTAGCATCGAAGAAAAGCATTTCAATGGTGCCTCCTGTGAATTCCCAGCGTTGCCCAACAAATTGTTGGTTCTGCAAGATGAAGATTGTTTGCAAAAGCGCAGGCAGGTGGGTCTGGAGGCCTGTTTGGACCCCAAGCTCCATATGAGCAGGTCTTCTCTATGCTTCTACTCAACTGGCTAGATGACCTTCTGCATGCCAACGGTCCGAAGTTCTCACGTGAGGCTCACTACCAAGGCCTTTTCCAGCCCAAAAGAAGCTAGCAGGCAACTCCGGTTCCCACCCATCCCGCTAATGAAGCATGAAAACGTTTCTGGCAAGCCCCCATGTGACAGGCCGGCTGCCCTGAAATCAGCGCATCAAATTGAACCGCCCCGATCTTCTGCACCTGCCATGCAGCGTCGCCTTGAGACCACCAAAGATGAGCTCTCTCTCTGGTGCCTCCCACGAAAAGTAACCACAAACCCGAAAATGCGCACTGCGCCACAACGAGAGCACGGTCGAGGAAAGCACCTGCGCGCGACCGCGAAGTCGTAGTGCACTTCGAAGATTTTGAGAGGCATGAATGCACCGTAAATAGCAATGATTTGGGCGCCGACGGATGTGAGCACCCTCGATCAAACACAGCCTGAGTTATTACTGTAAGAACTCGTAGTTCGACACCACACTGTTTGCTAAAAATATCCAAAAGGGCGAGCAGAAAAGTTGTCATGTAAACATGTCTGGATGATTGTGGAGACCTGGCTGTTCAAGCTGTGCCGAACCCTTGCCCATTGCAAACCTTTTGGGGCTCACTGAACGCCTGCTAAAATGTTGCCAAACAGGACTCCGAAGAAATGAGGAACCGACGCCCGAGCAAAACTTGCGGATTTTTCAGCCTGAAAAACAAAATAAACGGTGAATTTTCCAAGTTTGAGAGCGGGTAGTCGAACTTTGCCTCTACATCATGGCAGCTGAGAATCAACCTGGGCGTTGACGGATCCCGAGTGACCCGAGTGTAGCAATAGCAAGTCCAAAAACAAGAACGGGACGACGCAAATAGTATGGAGATCATCTCTTCGTTGGACACTAAACTGGTGTCTTGAGAGTTGTTGAGCTCCAAAAGAGACTTGTCAAGTATTTTCACTGTGGATCTTCATTTGGCTCGATATTGCGCGCTGGCGGCTCCCCTGCTTCGCAGGCCCAAGTACGAGCGGCTTACTGTACTTGCCACTTCATGTTTTTGCGTGAGCTGGGGCCGCTCCCTGAACTGATCGTCATACTACTTTTGGGTATATCAGTATATCCCATTCCCTGCCACAGTGGATAATGATGGTTAATTAGTACAGCAGGCCATTCTCTAAAGTAGTGATAATCTTTCACCAACCCCAAGCGCCCGCGTTAGCTAGGGTTCTTGGAATCAGCTGAGCTCTTTGACCCAAAAGGGTTCCTCCGACAAGGACCGTGCGGGGCATTTGTAGCCCCGGGAGCCCGAAAGCGGCAATATGACAAAGACGTAGATCCTTCAAACATCTTCAAACCTCGAAGTGCCTACGAACAATGGAAGCAAAGCTTGTCGATGTTTTCGGAAACAGTCGCCGCACATTCTGGCTCGAGTGACGCTATGTCCCATCAAACTGACATATCATAGTACATGGTTCATTATGCTTCCCTGTTGACGGGTGAAGCATCCCAAAAACATCCGTCTCGCCTGTACCCTTCCCCACATCGCAAAAAACCGGCGATTCGCCGACTGCCAAGCTGCAGCCACGCCCAAGGCCCAAGCCTCCGTGGGAGATGGCTCACCCTGTGGTGAATGAAATGGAAGAAGTTTCGTGTCAAAAGTGGACAGTTGGACCTTGGCTCCAGTGGAAAGAAGGATGGCTCACACCACTCGCTCGTGTCAAAAGAAGTGTTTGCACACATCAAGCCAGTGGACCTTTGCAAAGGAACAAGGACGCTACTAGGAACAAAGGGCATCGCTACTAGGAGCAAAGAAGCTACTAGGGGCTCCTGGCCTTACTACTAGGAGCAATGTTTGCTAGTAGACACAATATATAGAATTTGGTTACGGAACTGCTCGCTTGCTCTACCAGTTTCTTCGCCCATGATTTACGGCAGTTTTCATGATGATCCTTTTGGCATTGGCTTGTTGTTAGCATTGGGATTCACAGTCATAGGACATAGCAGAAAAACCAGCCGGTTTCCATGTTTGTGTCGACTCTTGATCAATCAACCCCGATGCCATTTGGATGGCCATTGGCTGACGACCGCGCCACGTCGAGTCGACGGACGACGCCTCATGGCCGGGCCGGCACCCACCCGGTTCGGTATGCAAATCTGAGCCACCAAGGTTGGTCAGATGGAAAAGGGAGTTCTCTGGGAGAGAAGGGTGAACAAACACTGAGGCCATGATCAAAGCAGTTTTTGGTGTACGGGACTTGTCTGCTTCACAACTTTTCCGGTGGAAGCAGATTCCGGATTCTGCAAACCATGACATTGTCTCAAAAGATCTCAAAAAGCAATCCAAGGTTGCACAGACCCCCATCGGCCAGAGGGGGAGAAGGGAAGCTAACGCCCACTGGTAAACCCGTGGAAACCTAAGGCAAGGCACACAAAACATGGGAACCACATTCAAACATCTCCAGCGATGTGGTCAGTCTTGGGATCAGTTGTGGCTGGGGAGCCACATTCAAACCATGGGAAGCCGCAATCCAAGGATCTCCAGCGATGTGGCCGTCCCATTTCTGGGACGCCCCTTTTCAATGCAGCCGTCCATTTCGGTCGCAAGCGAAGACAGTTGGGAGATGTCACAGGGTGGCAATTGACAGTTCATCACTTTCCTGAACCAGCATGGAAGCCGCTCGTTTATTAAGTCAGATTAAGTCAAAACATGGGTGACCAAACATGGAACATCGGTTTTTTTGGGGGCCTGACTGCTGAGGGCTTGGAATCAAATGCGCTGATATATCGGACTGCATCTTCTCCCATCTGCTTCATCCCGACGCCCGCGCCCCTTGCTATGTGGGTCTATCTCGCTCGACCTCTCTTTGGGTCGAGCGACAGGCTGACCGGTCGGGGGGCACCGGATGAACAACAAAGGTGTTAAACCGGCTGGTGATAGGTGGGTACTGTGGAAAAAGCCAGCCACACAACAACTGCATCATGCATGGCAGGAAACTGGATACATTTAACACACAAGTTCTGCTCCATGTATGACAAGTATTAGAAGTATTATGGTACCGGGGCTTTGGAGCTGGCACCGGGCGACCTGCAGCCAGACATATCCTGACTGAAGCCATCTTGCTATAGCACAAAGGCAGTGCCTCAAGGATATGTTTGGTGGGCTCCGCTAAGAAAGGTGACTAGGTCAAACGTCAAAACCATATTACCTTGGGTCTGTATCGATTGGTGGTCATGTCTACGACAAGCGTCGACCTATGCATCGACCGATCAAGTTTTTAAAAAGGAACCGATGCATTGACATGAAAAAGTCCGCTCAGATCTTCTTCGTGACTGTGAGAAAAACGCCATACTTCTCCCCCTGGCAGTGTTTCTCTCACAAAGGCGCTGCTTGAACTGGCAACTTAAAGGATCCCACAGGCAAATGCTCTATTGAATTTGGCAAATGTTTCAACATAGCCAAAGTCATATCGCTTGGCCCACTGGGAATATCGACTCACAAGAAGCAACCAAGGAATCATCAAGCTTGGTCTGCAATCAGCCATCCCAGTTAGTCTGAAAAGGTTTGGAGGAGTGCATTGTGAATGCCCAGACTGCAATGGCAGGCTGCTACCAGCAAACCACAAAGAGCACCCAAGCAACCAACCAGCAACAACAAATCCAACCCTCCAAACCTGCTTGGATCAAGCAGCACCATCCGTGTAGCTCTGAAGCTCCTGCCGATCGGGGGCCTGTTGCGAACATCTCGTTGTTGGTGGAATGCTCGGATGTGGGGGATGACCAGTCAAGACATTACTGGGGCTCGGTTACACCTCAAGCACTTGACAAGAGTGCAGATTTCGGTGAAAACGTGGATGGGTTTTCGACCCGGGAGATCCTTGACCAACCTGCATCTCTACCACTTTGCATCCCCCCCAAACGCATCTCACCATCCAACCAATCACGCCCCGACCGGTCAACCCGTGGAACGAACGTGGAACGAACGCGGTTGACAACCGACTCCGACGCGGTGGGACGTCGGTGGTACCGGTCTCCTTGTGCACTTTCTCGATGACCACCTCCAAGGGCCTCGGTCCGTGCGCGTCCTCGGTCCGTGCGAGTCCGTCCGACTCTCCTCCGGGTGCGCGGGTTCCACGCCTCGGTCCCCGAAGGAGGGAGGGAGTGAGGAAGGAGGTGCCGTTGGTGGCGGAAGAACAGTCGGAAAACTGGAGACATCGACTCGTTGAATTCCAGAGTCACTGAAAAACGTGCTGTGAGTTGCTGGGATGTGCATGGAGCGTCGCGCGTTGTGCTGGAAACGAGGTCCTCAGGATGCAGAAGCGGCTGGAACCCATGCTGATAAGTGTTCTAGCTTCTACTGGAGGTGCAAGGGCACTAGGGTGACCACAATCGGCACCGAGAGCTGCAACTTAGTTGGAACTCACTTCTGAACTTGGAGATTTGTGGTGCAATTACGTTAAACGCAGCCAAAACCTGCAAACACCACCCGACAGTCACCTGTCACAACTCTAGATTCCTACGACAAGTCGACCAAAAGTAGACACCCAAGAAGTGGAATTTCATGGAATTTCGTGGTTTCGCCGACCACATCATGTTCACCTCCACATCCCAACAGAGGTTGAAGAACCCGAACTAGACTATATATCCCAGTTCGGTACCCCAGTAAGGTCCTATTTACGGTCACTGTCCACCTCTCTTGGTCCTCCACCACCCTCCCCACCACTGCATCCCGCCCCTGCCCACACATCATGCTTGGGCCTCCGGACTCGAGATCCACGGCGCCCTGCAACTGCGAGGCGTTCGAGTGACCACCGACGCAACGACTGACCACCGACGTGTCTCGGAGTGTTGCTTCTCGGAAGATGCTAACTCTCGGACAAACTCAGACGGAACCCCCAAGTCAGCACAAGGCTCTGGTTTTGATGCTTGGCTCTGTGTATTTTGCTTGCCTGAAGAGGATCTGCAAACAAAAGTCCTCTTCAACAGCAGCGGGAGTGTTGCTTGCTCTTGAGTTCTCCACTCCTGCCTTTGTTGGCCGCGCTAGGCCAATGCAATGGTTTGGCACCGATTGTTGCAGCCTTGCCCGCTGCAACTTCAGAAAAAAGCACGTACACACGGTTCTCCCCATTTAGGTCTATGGGGGTAGTAAACCAACACCAATAAACCGGAGCCAAATTCATGCGACTCCATTTGGGGACACCAACATGAATTGTAATGTAATGTCAATCTGCCATAGGCCAAAACCCACAGGTTCCAGGCTTTGATCCATCTCAACGAATACCGTATAGTATGCATTTTTGCTGTGAAATGAATGCGGAAGCCTTCCGTCCGTCCCAAACAAAGGGCCGCCTCGGTCATCCGCCGCCGCGCGAAGGAGAAGATCTCCTGCTCAAGGACCTCCAGGCATTCCATTGTGGTTGAGAGATGTTGAGAGCGCAGTTTGCCAAAGCCAAGTAGTAACCGTGCTTCATGGGCTTTAGGGCGTAGAGTTGTGATTGGATGCGATTGGGGCAGTTGATATAAACATGCAACATTCTCTTGGCACAGCGGCCATGCTAACCCGCGTGTAGGGAATGGTCCCAATGCTTGCTTATATTATGCTGGGCTTCTGGTGAAGCTGTAAGTGATGCTTCTGGTGAATCATAACCCTCAACCAGCCAGGTGAAGGCACAGTCAGGTGCTGAAGATTGACCATGCTTCGCCATGCTTGGCATTGATGTGGTCCACAGAAGGACGCAAATCATGAAGGCATCAACACGAGCCATTGCTCACGACTGGGAATGGGCATCTCACCAGCTCAAGGTGCAAGAGTTGGCCACCGAAATGGGGGAAGGGTGAATGGCTGTATTCCAAGCTGAAGGCCGACATTGCTTTCTAAATCTTCGGGCAATTTATACACTTTTTGAATAAATATAATAAATCATCTGGGATGTTCCATGCCCGCTGGTCTCTCTGCAACGGATCAAAACGAGTCTGCCATTGTTTTTGTTCATAATAGTCAAGCAAGTAGTGTGAAATGCAATGGAACAAACCACTGCATGTCAATTTCTTGCTCCTTAGCTTCCATGAAGGCATGCCACGCCCCCCACCCGGCGACCTCACAGAGGGTGCACCGCAAAAGGGACCGCGCCACACGCGGCGCTCGCCTGGAAGGTCATCTGCAAATCGTAGAGCGCCGCCATCTTTAAGACGCGTGCCTGACATCATCCGCATGACACCGCGGGTCTTTTCGCGGTCTGTCTTATGGTGGATTTCATGCGCTCCTTGGAATTCCAAAGGGAAGAAAACATGATTTGAAGGCACATGTTCCACCTTTTTCTCGGCCCCCCACTGCAGCGACACCTGGGTTGTGGAGTGGGGAGCCCATCCAGGATGTCACGGAAGAAGCAAACTCGAGGTCACTCCCGAGCGAAAATGTCCGTCCGTTGGGTGAAAAGGGGGGGAGGGCCTTGGTGGAAGCGCCCCATATGCAATGATATCCAAATTTACAGGGCCCTCTGATTGATTCCAAGTCTTTTAACTCTGTTGGAAAGACCTTCGCTCGTTAGGTTCACCCGCCGAAACAACTTGGATTTGCTTAAGGGTCCTGAACATATTTCCCAACAGGTGATTTACCCATAGGGAACAGAAACAAATCAGCGAAAACAACCAGTCGTAGAAACTCATAACATCTCAGAACCAAACCCCGCTGTCCCACAACAACTCTCCGCTTCAAAAACACCAAGCATGCCCAGGACCAGTGGAATGAACATGACAGTCATGAGGCTGACCATGAAATCCTCTATCAGCTTACCTGGCTGCTGCGACTTGTAGATAATCAGGGAGATGTTTCCCCTCGACTTTTGACTCTCGACTCCTTCCATGAATGACTAGGAGCGATCGGATGCTACGAACGGGGCGAAACTGGCCTGACTACTAGGAGCATTCTTGCTACGAACGCAACAAGGACGCTAAAAAATACCGTGGATGTTCGCCACCCTCATTCCATGCACCGAGGGAATCGGTCACACCACTCGACTGCCGATGGATTTTCGAAACGACCGCCTCGGCCCGGAACGAACAACCGCTTTGGTGCTGGGCCAACGAACACCACCTGCCTTGGGACAAACAGGGATCGCCAGTACTTGTCGCTGAAGCAACGGCGCCTCAGGTGTTCGGGAGGCCTTGAATAAATGCATTCGGATTGGGATGCCTTTAGAATCTTTAGATTATATACAGCAACATACAGTAACTCACTTTTTCCCTCTATGTTCCTTTAAGAGAAAAGAGGGTCTTCCATTCTTATAGCCGTCATAGAAGGAGACCATCTTTCTATCCCCGCTGTGCCATCGAATCTGGACCATCTGTCCATGCAAACTACACACAAATATATGTCAATGTACACTCTTCAGCGATCTGCAGGATCTCTGGAAAAACCACATGGTTAAGGCATCATGGGGTTCCCCACCAGCTTTTTTCATCGGACAACCTCAAATGGCCCATTCTTTTCGCCATGCCATCCACGTTGGCCCCATGATCATTGCATGGAGTGCATGTGGTCTTTCCAAGGGATCGGTGGGGAAAAAGAGAACAACCGCGCGTCCTTTCCGCGAGGCAACCTGCCGTCAATGGTTCCGTTTTTCCGTCCAGAAAGCCGCGATATGAAAGGATGTGGCTGTGGGGAGGCCAAAGGTAGATTGGGCGTGGCTTGGAAAACAACAATCCAATACATACCAGGACCATCCTGTCGGGGTGTCTAATAGAAACACCCTACATTACTTATGGAGATCTCCATTTGACACCCAAGCAGGATGATCTAGGTCGCTTTCCATCCAACATTTCTCCATCTAGGTCGCTTGTTCAATGGCGGAGCTCTTCTCCCCTCCTTCAGAGACCTCACTTCCCCGATCTCGGCTCAGTCCACGCACCCACCGACTCTGTGGGTGGGTGGGTGGAACCCACCACCCGGTTCCAACCGGGCGCAGCTCCACAGCCAAGAGGCTAAAAGACCGGACTGCTTCAGTGCCAAAGGAAGATCCTCGTGCCGGGCCGGTCTGATCTGGTTTTTTCTTACATGCGCCACTCGCGGGACAAACACGGATGACCCAAATAAAGCACCTTTCATCAAAAAACATCCCATCAACGCCAAGCGCTGAATGTTCGACACTTCCCTGAAATTATCATGGAAGTGGATGGCATGGCCCCTTTGGAAGACTGTTTTCCTCTACAACCAAGTCTTGATCTTCCTAAGCTCCTCCCTCTTTAGGTTCACCACATATGTGCGCCAATCATGCCGCAATCATAGCTGATATGTCCCAAAAGATTTTGCGCATGGGTCTGCAAACAAATTGCGAGACACCCCAACGACATGTGGACAAGCAAAGCGGTCAGAACATGGCACCAACCAGAACCCACAACCACCAACCTCCTCCGCTATCGCTCCCGACCACAGCTCCTCAGCCAAGTTGGAGTACTGGTCGAACTGCTCCAGCTCCAGCTGCACCTGATGCAGCCACTGTGCTAATGGAGGAAAATGAGGGTTGGAAAAGGACCACCAAACGAAGTGTCATCAGCCTCTTCATCAGCCTCTTTCTCCTTGGGTGGGGGGGGTTGGCACCACTTCGATTGTGAAATCGTGCCGGTTCCATGGTTCGGTTGGGAAGGGGGTGTTCTTCATCCAAGCACCGATCGACACGTGCCATTCAGCACCAGTCCCGTGAGTCGTGCCAGCCACGCGGCCCTGTCTACACTGCATCCACATTGGAACACGATGGAAGACACTCCTGCATCCGCATCGACCAATCAAATTGAGGCAGAAGCTTCATGCAACAGAAAAAGCGAACGATATAGCTGTGGAACTATCATCAATCTGCAATCCTTGGCGGTCGCTTGCCCCATCCAACAATCGGCGTTACAAAGACTATAAGATCAGATATACAAGAAGTTCCTCTGGTAGAGCCTTGTCAGCCTTGTCCCTCCACACCCAACACATGCCTTTCTGACATGAAGAGCAGCGCCGATACCTACCGATCACCCCCGATGGCACCAAGGCCTCGTGCGCGTAGTCGCGGAGCCTCGGTGCGGCCCAACAGGGTGAAGGAAGGGATTCATCGCATGACCTTAAAGTGAGACCCTAAACTTTAGCAGATCCTCATCTTCATCGCATCACATGTGCTTTGTTCATCACACATTTGAGACAAAGATTTTCCCAGCTTCTCCCCAACAGCGTCGCCGAGCAGCTTTGCTAAAGGGACGGAACCTGACGGTGGTGGGATGGCTAGTAGTAGACATCGGTGTGTTGCCCTCAACCAGCGACATCTACCACGACTGCCGCGCACTCCGACGAACACATCACATGGAAGTGGATGGCACCCTCCGTTCGTAAAGGAAAGTAGTCTTCCAAGGGACCATTTTCCACTTCCATGTTAGTGAGTCAGGGTGTAACATGTCTACCACTTCACTGACATGTTTTGAGTGGTGGTGTCTACCACCCTCGGTGTGATGGCCGAATATCTCAGAAAGGAAAAACCGACTCACCGACGGAGCTACAGGATCACCGCTTTGGGTCGGGAAGTGAGTGCGGAGGGGTCGACCTTGTCACTGAGTTGGGTGACCTGGCTTCTTTGGATTGGCATGTCCATCCACCGTTGGATTGGCCCCGCCATGAACATCACCAGTTCTGTACACCAGTTCCTTACTACCCCAATCTACCCCACCTCTCCGCCCCTCTTTTTGACGTTTTTTCACCGAGGTGCAACATCTGAACCTTTCCCTTGGCTTCGCAGGAGACCTCTGGGATCAGCTGTCGGTTCGCCTTGCGGCCACGGCACACCCCCCCACCGTTCCCGGTGAACGAACGTTGGTGGCCAGGCCAGGTGTGGGCTGTGAAGTAAGTAGGTGGTAAATGGAGCCCCCTCAAAAATGTGTGCTGCCCCTCGAGCTAAGGGTCAAGGGATCTGGGTTTTTTGATGCTTTTTTTAGTAGGGCGGCTTTGTGATTCCTACCAGGTGCCGTTGACCTGTGTTGACCCGTGTTTTCGCGCCGTGGATCCTATTCTTGCCATGTTTTCCAACCAAGAATCTAGTGACATGAAGGCTTTCAGGCTGACGACCTTCAAAGATTTTTGGCATGCACTGCATTGTCCTTATCTTCGCACAATCACCCAATCACCAAACACATCACATCCTTGACATGTTCCTTGACATGTTAACTAATTACGACACACAGAATTGAAACACCTTTTGGAACGCGAGACGCCTTCGTCCATCGCAACTACCTTCAATGGTCGAAACATCTCAGCCGAATTGACTCGTTCGGCAGTGGATTGAGAGTCGATGGCACAAGTTACTCCAATGTCGGTGGTTTAAAGTAGTGGATCCCCCATCTTTTTTTTGGGACATCTACATGACCCATACACTCCATGGGACTGGAATAAATATGCCTACATTGACCCCCCTGGCACCACCACCCCAACCGATCGGCATCGCAGTCAGTCGACCCCAATGTATGGCAGTCCCATGGGTCGTGTCTGGGTGACATCATTCGGTCTCCGCCATCGAGTTTCTGTGTTTGGCTCCTGTACCTCTCCCGGGGGGGGGGCCTGCAGGAACTGTCTCACGTTCTGCTGGTGCGTGAGGATTTCAGCCTCGGCGGACCAAGGCCCCCCGGTTTGGGGTGTCTCCTTAGACTGGTCCCTTAGACAGTTAAGGGGTATCTATTAACCATCCCTTATAGGGGTGCTGGTATGTCACTTTTCATGTAAATTCTTGCCTGCCAGCAGTGTGTGTTGCTGTATGCTTTTGCCGACCACCGCACATCACAATGCTTTGTCTTGCAGTGATGACGGATGGCGGATTGGAGAGCAGGTTATGTGGCTACCAAACTGCCGAACGAATCCTCACATGATTATCGATCCAGAAACAGTTCCATGTTGATGCTTATATTCGACCCCAAATAGATAGAAGTTCGTAGATCCCCACAAAAAAAGGCCTTGGACACCGTGCCTCTACCTGTCTGGGGATCCATCCAAACCATGTACGAAACATGTCATGCGGAGCTGTTCATCTATTGAACAAAACTCCATCCTCCAAAACTGGCATGTCGGAGCTGGGGGAGGCTGGAAGGAAGCCTGCTCTCGGTTCACTGTGCACGTCGGAGTGGGCACGTGGTCTTAGACCAATCGTCCGCATCGATGAGATAAACGAAAAAGGACTGGATCCAAATGGATCATGTTTGGCGAAGATGCTTGTCATGAAGTAGTGAGTTTTTTTTGGGAAGAACGAAAGGATCACATGTAGGTGGTTAAGACCTGTTAAGGCACTCACTGGCCTCAACATGGCCTCAACTCAACGGATCTTCAGGTTAGGACATTCCAGGGCATGCAGCCCAATTCTTGGACACCTTGTTGATCATTAACGGCTCTTGACCGTTCGGGTCAGTGCTCCCGACCACCCCGCAAAGACAGCGATGCCACCCGCTGACACCGACGCCAAGCAACGTTGAGCCGCTGCAGCACCTGCTGATGGAGAGTGACACTGGATGACTTGGGTGTCCACTTATGTTGTAGTGAAGATGTCCGCACCCACGAACGAAAACAACATTTAGATCATTTGGTGCCATTTTTGTTGAGACTGGACTCTTGAGGGGAGGAGAGGCCTTATGCCCTTATGGCCCTTATGAGTGAACGTCTCCTGTTGGTGACATTGGTTAACAAACATTGCCATGAGTGGAGTGGGTCTTTGTCGAAGTGCCTCCCAATGATGACATTCATATATGGTGCCACTGCTAGGGAACTTGTGGCCAAACACCTGCAACCAGCTCTGATTCTGTCGAAATAATTTTCCGTTCAAGAAAGCAAACAGCTGCATACTGAGAACCGTTGCACCATCTTGAACCGTTCCTCATTGGCCTTCCACATGCAAACACCCGCAACCGCTGCTCCGTTTGGGGTTCATCCAACACGACCACCAACTAGTAACTAGTGGCAGGCAATGGAGGCACTGTACAAGGGCACGGAAACGCATTTGGAGACCTGAAGCAGTGACTAAGCTCACCCGGGGATTGGAGGTTGTCATTCAGAGGAGTGCTGTGTGAGCCAACAAAAGGGCGAGCAAAACTCACCAACACCATGTGGCGTTGAACTGCGTTTAGGACCATCATCAACACCACGTGGCGTTGAAATGCGCTTGGACCATGATCTTGCTAACAAAAATCTCATCATTTTACATCTCTTCCCGCGCCTTGTGGTTGTTGTTCCTCTGGGTGATCTGCCTGTGGGCCACGAGAAGACCAAGATGAAACCCACGAACCCGAATGCAAACACGTTCGAAAACTACATATGTCCAAATGACACTCTTGTCGGACACTCTTGTGGGACACTCTTGTCGGAAACTCTTGTGGGACAATCTTACGGGACTCTCTTGTGGGACACTCTTGTAGGAAACTCTTGTGGGACAATCTTACGGGACTCTCTTGTGGGACACTCTTGTTGGATACTCTTGTAGGACACTCTTGTGGGTCACTCTTGTAGGAAACTCTTGTGGGACACTCCTATGGGACACTCTGGTAGGACACTCTGGTGGGTCACTCTTGTAGGAAACTCTGGCGGGGCACTCTTTTGGGACACTCTTATAGCCTATGCAGCCAGATAAGATATGCAGGAGCGTTTGACTGCAGAGAAAGCTGACGGCGCACCGTCGCACCCTGTCCCTTCGGCGTCCTTGTTTTTGGCTGCCTCCAATGCTTGGGCATTTATCTTTAAGTTGCTCGTCGAAACAAAGGTGACGTTTCAGCTTTCAATTGACTTACTCAAGGCCTTCCGCTTGAGCAATTGGATCAGGATGGCGAACCATATAGCCGCGATACCGAAGACGCAGCTTTCCTGGATCCTGGCCAAGTCGAACTCCCCCAATGTGATCGCGAGCGAGATAATAGTCCTCCAAGCGCTCCGGCATACAATAGGGAACACAGCGTTCCTGCTCAAAAGCCAAGGAAAACAGCCCAAGCAGCCTGTAAAGACTTACCCAGTGCTGGAGCAGTTCGCGATGCAGGGGCGGACCGTCGGAGGGCGTTCCCTCGTATGCGTCTGTCCTCGCCCATCGCCAAGGCCGGCACCATCACCAGCTGTATATCATTTTGCAACTAGCCAGAGTTGCAATCGAGGCAGGTGTGTACTGTAGCTCCACCGTTCATCAGGGCTTGCATCTTGCGGCGATGCCTTGAATCGATGCATCTGCAAAGCTGCCATCTCTACAAGACTTCCATGCCAACAGGTCTACTCAAACTTGCAGCACCGATCACAGCAAGCAATCTCTAGAAGACCTATGTGGCAAAGCCGCAATCTCTACAAGACTTCCATGTCAACTCTACTCAAACTTGCAACTCCGATCAAAGCAAGCAATCTGTACAAGAGTTGTGTTTGCGTGCCAAAGAAATTACACAACCGTAGGCCCCAAACAGTTTGCGTTTTTCAACATCGGAACACTCTGCAACTACAGTTTGCGACGTCCAGAGCTGGGAGACAAAGGATTGCAAGGCAGAGGCAGGCACAGCAGTCCAGAGCTGGGAGACAAATAAAGGATTGCGAGGCAGTCAGTGGCGGACACGGCAGCCCTGAGTTGGAAGACAAATGTAAAGGACTGGAAGGCAAAGGTGGGTCATTGTGTCCGCCTTGTCTCCCTTTATCTCCGGTCTTGTCTCCTTCTTGTTGGTCACTGTGTCCGCCTTATCTCCCTTCTGTATCCTTTTGTCTCCCTTCTTGTCACCGGTCTTGCCTCCCTTCTTGTTGGTCACTGCGCCCGGCTTGTTTCCCAATCCTTACCATTTGTCTCCCAGCTCTGGTCTGCTGTGTGGCAATGCTTTACATGTCTCCCAGCTCCGGACTGCTGTGTCCGCCTCTCGCTTGCAATCCTTATAACATCAGCTCTGAGCTGCTGTGTCCGCCTCTGCCTTGCAATCCTTTAGATTTGCTTCCCAGCTCTGGGCTGCTGTGTCCGGCTCAGACAAGAAGGGAAACAAGAAGGGAAACAAAAGGAGACAGAACGGAGACAACCAACAAGACCAGAGACAAAGAAAGAGAGAAGGGAGACAAGGCGGACACAATGACCAACAAGAAGGTAAACAAAAGAGACACGAGACACGTGTAATTGCAAGGCAGAGGCGGACACAGTAGCCCAGAGCTGGGAGACAAATGTAAAGAATGGCAGAGGCGGACACAGCAGCTCAGACCTGGGAGACAAATGTTAAGGATTGCAAGCGAGAACAAGAAGGGAACCAAAAGGGAGACAAGCCGGACACAGTGGCCAAAAGAAGGGAGAAGACAAAAGGAGACAGAAGGGAGACAAGGCGGACACAGTGACCAAGAAGAAGGGTGACAAGACCGGAGACAAAGGAAGACAGAAGGGAGACAAGGCGGATAGAATGACCAGCAAGAAGAGAAGCAAGAAGGGAGACAAGACTGGGGACAAAGGGAAACAGAAGGGAAAGGGAAACAAAAAGGGAGACAAGAAGGGAAACAAAAGGAAACAAAAGGGAGACAAGGCGGACACAGTGACCAACAAGAAGGGAGACAAGACTGGAGACAAAGGGAAACAGAAGGGAAAAGGGGGACACAATGACCAACAAGGAGGAAAACAAAAAGGGAGACAAGAAGGAAAACAAAAGGAAGCAGAAGGGAGACAAGGCGGAGACAGTGACCAACAAGAAGGGAGACAAGGGAGGCAAGGCGGACACAATGACCAACAAGAAGGAAAACAAAAGGAAAACGCAAGGGAACAAGCCGGACGGAAGGCGGAAACGCTGCCCCGCAGCAAGGCGGACACTTTTTAAAAGCATTGAGAACCCCTGACAGTTACCTGTTTGGGGAATGAATAGAAATGCTGCGTGGCCAGCGGAAAGGGCGGACACCAGCATTGCAGGCACCGAACCTGGGAGACATAAGTACAGAAACTAGTACAGAAACCAGCGAGACAAAAGTAGTGACAGACCTGGGAGGCAAATGAACAGAAATGCTACATGGCCAACGGAAAAGGCCGGGCACTAGCAGTGACAGACCTGGGAGACAAATGAAGAGAAATGTTGCATCGCCAGCAGAAAATGGCCAGCGGAAAAGGGCGGACACCAGCACTGACAGACCTGGAAAACAAATAAATAGAAATGCTGCACCATTGACAGACCTGGGAAACTAATGAATAGAAATGCTGCATGGCCAGCGGAAAAGGGCGGACACCAGCAGCGACGCAAAGGGCGGACACATCTTAAGAAAGAATTGCGAACCCCTAACAGTAAACTGTTTGGGGAAAAATTAAAGGACCGGATAACCCCACATATGAATCTTTACGAATCTTAAGTTTCTAAAACACAAAGCAGTCAGAGTCTCAATAGCTTCTACAACACGGCCTTGTCAGGAAGTGATATCAGCTTCCGACAACAGAGGGGTGGGAGAGAAGGTGTAAGAGAGTGATGTGCACGACGGATGTACGAGGTATTGTGCACACAGGTGTGCGCAGCGACAACTAGCCAACAACACCAGCGGTTGTCGCACGTCCGCAATACGGGGCATAATGTACGAAAGTTGTACTACAAAGTCGCCAGTTCTCAGCTTCCAGCTCCACAGCTACTCCGCGTACTAAAGTTGCACTAGAAACTCGCCAGTTCTCAGCTTCCAGCTCCACAGATTGCTCCGCGTACTAAAGTTGTACTACAAAGTCGCCAGTTCTCAGCTTCCAGCTCACGGATTGCTCCGCGTACTACAGTTGTACTACCAAGTCGCCAGTTCTCATCTTCCCACTCCCCAGCTACTCCGCGTACTAAAGTTGTACTACCAAGTCGCCAGTTCTCATCTTCCAGCTCCCCAGCTAGTCCGCGTACTAAAGTTGTACTACAAAGTCGCCAGTTCTCAGCTTCCAGCTCCACAGATTGCTCCGCGTACTAAAGTTGTACTAGAAACTCGCCAGTTCTCAGCTTCCAGCTCCACAGATTGCTCCGCGTACTAAAGTTGTACTACAAAGTCGCCAGTTCTCAGCTTCCAGCTCCACAGATTGCTCCGCGTACTAAAATTGTACTAGAAACTCGCCAGTTCTCAGCTTCCAGCTCCACAGCTACTCCGCGTACTAAAGTTGTACTACAAAGTACACACGGAGCCAGATCTACTGCGATTTACAATGGGACAGCGTCGCCGGCGCCCACACCCGACCAGAGCCGACCAGCGCCGACCAAGCAACCACCAGACCCTCTAACGGAGCCAGATCTACTGCGATTTACAATGGGACAGCGTCGCCGGCGCCCACACCCGACCAGAGCCGACCAAGCAACCACCAGACCCTCTAACGGAGCCAGATCTACTGCGCTTTACAATGGGACAGCGTCGCCGGCGCCCACACCCGACCAGAGCCGACCAGCGCCGACCAAGCAACCACCAGACCCTCTAACGGAGCCAGATCTACTGCGATTTACAATGGGACAGCGTCGCCGGCGCCCACACCCGACCAGAGCCGACCAAGCAACCACCAGACCCTCTAACGGAGTCAATGAGTCAGTGGTGTCAGATGAGTGGTGTGTGATGAGTGGTGTGTGGTGAGTGGTGTGTGATGAGTAGTGTAAAATGAGTGGTGTGAGATGAGTGGTGTGTGATGAGTGGTGTGTGATGAGTGGTGTGTGGTGA